ATATCCAAGCCTGTGGTCCCATCTGCTTTCGTGTGAACCAGCCAAAACATGATTTTCTTTTAATTACCAAATATTCAGGTGTTATTTACACAGCACCATGATCCTGAAGAAGCACCGTTTGGAACTGCCTCGGTGTCTTGGAGCTCACACTACAGGCGTGATTTAATATCTCTGAGTTACTGAGCCAAATACAATTTCAGGGAATACGTGCATGCAGGCATGTGTGCGGTATGTGTGTAAGTATTATACTGTGGGATCTATGAATACATTACAGCCAAAAAGTAATGGAACAGTAAGTCTTGGTAAAATAGATTGATACAGAACATTTTGAGTAAGCGATCCCTGTGACACCTCTGAGGGTATGATTGATAAGCGGTGAGCTACATGCTGTGCTCTTCACATGTATTTATTTATGTCTGGCGTCAATCTCATTGCACGCTGGCACTGATGTCTTGTTTTCATACAGTACGTCCTGTTGCAAAATAATAATCTCTAAATTTACTATGTATGGAAATACAGATTATTTTTTGTTCCTCATTGAATTGTCAATGGTGATTAAAGCCGTTTGACGGGCAGCTATGGTGGAGTGATGGTGAGTCCTGCAGGCTGACAGATCTGTGGTCCTGGGTTCGGTTCCAGCAGGGGACTCCTGTCTGTGTGGTGTCTGCATGCTCCAGTCTGTCTGTTGTTTTGTGTTCTCTACTTTCCTCCCGTCTTGTCTGTCTCTCCTCTTAAATTACTTTTAAAATGTAACTGGTCATTGCATAGGACTGGGGGTTGAGGTTATCAGACTGGAGGGCTGTGGGATCAAATGTTATGGTAGGATGCTGATGTCACCTTGATCAAGGTACCTCACTCGGCCTGCGCTAGTCAGTGCACAGCTGTATACAGTACACTGGTGCTTTCCAGCTGTTTCTAAATGACGTGGGGAGTGAGAGCATCTGACTGAAATGAAGTCATCTCCTATTGCAATAAAAGCAACTATTTATAGTTACATATGTTCCTCATTCCTGTTGTGAATTATAAATCCATGCTGCTACTGTGAGTAGATGCTGCACAGGATGTCGAGGTTTTTCATTGGTCATTTGATTTTTAAACCGAAATGAAACTTAAATTGAAATATATGGCCATGTTAAGCACGGAGAAAAGTACTTTGTGCATTATTTTTTAAATACATCTAGAAAAAATATTTTGCTAAAATTAATCTACTTGAATGTTTTCTTAAAAGGAAGTTGAATTGGAGTCCAAAAATCACGCAGGAGACATATTTTGAAATTGATATGCAGCCCAAACACCATTGCTGTCTTGAGCTGAACCCCTTAATCAACCTAACAATAACCCCATTCCAGCACTAACTGTAATCAGTCTGTTAAATTTGGCATTAATGCAACTCTACACATCAAACATGTGAATGTTTTGACTGTTAATGAGATTTAACAGTTAATTTCATGCTTATTTATACGAATATTTAATTATCACCCTCAAAGTTACACTTACAATTAAACAAACCTCCATCTAGAATTGCACTTCAGCTAGGTTAGAAAGAGATGTTATTTGGTTACAGGTATATCAGAAATAGAAGAACACTGTCCACATTTTCCTCAGTATCATTTACTTTGGTAAGCAGAGCCCTTTTTATATAAAGAGTAGATTTAAGATGTTTGGTTTGTAACATTTCCTGACTACATTCAAATGAAAGATTTCTTTGATCAGTCTTTGACCTCAATTAATCCAAATTTCACAGAAGGAGTGTTATTCTCCAACACAGTCTTCATGAGTCCCCTGAGTCTCAGACATTGCACTTTTGAACTAAACAGAAACATTTTCCTAGCTCAGTCTGATTTTTCTACTTTTCCTCCGGTGTCTTGTCTCATGTCTCGCATGTCCTTTCCTCTCACGCTGCATCGTATTCCTCTTTGTCGTCCTCACCCTCCCCTCTGGATTTGCAGCAGTCGTTTCTGTGGCTGACCGGTCCACCCATTTGATCTCCTACCTGCTGCCTGCCTTTCCTGTCCTGTGAAGGTTGTAGCTTGTCTCTTTAAAGCACAGCATTTTTATTTCAGCTTTTTTTTGTGATTCTTGGTGCCACGCATTCGGGCCTGTCTTATTCCATGGCTGCACAGACAGGGTTCTAGCAAAACAAACAAAAAAATTGCTTGCATTGTAATGTATTCAAACACTAACGAGCAGTTTAAAACTATGAATAAAACATCCTGCTGCGCCGGTAAATCAGGACTTAACTGGGTTTGAAGACTTCATTCCTTTTATTGCCAGGCCTGCATCTTGCAGGAGGGAGGCTGTCCTTTTGGTTTATCTGCTTGTACCTTTCTTTCCTCTCCTGCCTGCATTTCATACCTTCTCCTCTGCTGTTGGACACGGCAGTTCAAAAGCATTAGCTGAAACTAAGCTACAGTAAAAAAATATATAAAATAATTACTGCTTCAGCTGCAGCAAATTAAAATGAGAAAATATAATTTTAATTAAGCCTTTAGCGTTTCAGGTCATAACTTTAATTTTATCATTAATGTTGGTAAATCGGCAAAACCTAATTTCTCTGCCTATACAGTAAACCATTAAGCCCTTAATGTGAGAAATGACCTTATAAAATGAAGAGTTACCCTGAGGACTTGAATCCTGGATACTTCCTTCATCAGTCTCAGAGGAAAGAGAGAAAATGGAAATTTGATTAGCTTTGGAATTCTCTTTAGCTGTAATCATCAGTAAATTGGCTGTAGTGCATCTCTGCAAATTAAAGAAACTGTTAGGGGGTGGCTATGTCCTATGCTTATACAGTCATATGACTATATTAGTTTTGATTATTTTATTTAAAAAATCAATCATTAAAGGTAATGAAAAGGATACTGTCCCGGTACATTTTGCTAAAGTGCTGGAGAATGATTTTTAGTTTTATTGCTGACTCTGGTTAATGAGAATAAACTGTGTTAGCATATCTGGCTGGTGATGATTTAATATGATATTGCTATGGTTCTTTTTTTGGGGGACCTTTATAAATGGGATGCAGTGGAGCTGGGATAGCCATAACTATCCCAGTTTATCCAGAGATATTTTTTAATAACTATTATAATAACTGATAATGCGCAGTACACATTGACTGCTGACTGCTGTGTTATCCAGACATCCTGGCCAAATTCCCCATTGAAAATGTACCAGTCATGGCCTCCTAATAATCCCCGTCTCTGAACTGGCTTTATCACTCTGCTCTCCTCCCCACTGGGAGCTGGTGTGTGGGGAGTGTACTGGTGCACTCTGGCTGCCGTCTCATCATCCAGGGGAGTCCCCATTACCTGTAAAGTACTTCGTGTGGAGTGTCCAGAAAAGCGCTATGTACAGTAAGTGTAAGGAATTATTATTTCTCAGTTATTTCTTGGAATGGTTTCGTTGAGTCATTTCATTGACAAATTGAGGTTTCAAAATGAAAAGCTGATTTGTAAACTTTATCAACCCTCCCAATACATTTTGCTGAACCTTTGTTCTGAAAGTACAACAGAGCACCCCCCACATGTTGTGTATGATAACCTACTAGTAATCACCAACGGCTGGAGCATAAGGATGTAAGTTTAGACCAGCATGTCTTCATTTGAACTCTCCTCTCTGTGACTTCTGTCATTCAGATTCAGAATTCTATTTTATGTCACATGAAATGCATGGAACTATTATTTGGCTAAGAGAAGGCACTTGGATTTGAGCTCTTTTGTGTATAATTACTGTGCCTTTCAATTCCTTTTTCTGAGAAGCACAGATCCCCTGTGTTACTGCACCATTAGGTGCCACTGTAAATGGTAAAGTGATTATCAATATCTGCAGTATTATTAAACAGCTTTTTCCTACAGTCAAACTGTACAGCTATATACTATAGAGCAGAGCTACAGTAAGTAGCTACAGACCTTTGGAAATCTCCGTGGGATTAAAGAGTGTGATGAACTTCTTCCCAGTAGGAAATAAACTGAAGAGACATAAGTCTGGGAAGAACAGTCTGTGTCCAATATGCACTCCCAGCTTCAAACAAGGTCCCTGCCTAAATTGGATGAAATACAATCTTAATTGAGAGACAAACAATCTGGTGTCAAAAACTGAATTGCACAGGAAAAACCTTTTGAATTTTAGCAAATCAATTTTTCTTAGCTTGTCCTTCCTTCCTATAAAAATGGTCCTTCAGTTCAGGATCACCACCTATTCTGCACTGTAGTAAAACCTGAGCTCTGCTTTGATCCCCTGTGATCTATATTGAACAAGTTTAAAAACTGAAAACACACTTTTTAGAGCCCTAAGGGGGAAAAACTGCACTTTCATTTTCAGTTAATATTTTTAGGTCCAAGGAACTCGTGCTTATCTCTTTCTGCTACCAATATACTTGCTTCAGGGACTTACTGCATGGAGACATTTTACTCTACAATACTGTAATTTTGTGAGCACATTTCCCCTTTCTTTAATGATACTTTTATCTGTTCTCTCTATGATGCTCAAAATGTTCTTTCTAGTTCTAGAAACCTGACGTTGTTAGCGGCTAGTTTGATTGCAGGGGCAGGTAACAAATGCAGTATTACAATAATTATTAACCCCGATTATTTCTCAGACCCGCTCTCCTATAGAGTATCTCATACCACTCACATGCATGCATGCCGTCATTATCAGTCTAAAGCCAGCCTTTCAGAATCAGCACTGTGACTCTGCTGTTATACAGACTCTCGTCAGCAGTGGTGTTGTGAAGAGGCTGCAGCAGGGAGCTGGGTGAGCACACTTGGGCTGCACAGGAACAGGTGACGGTCGAGTCCCTGCTGAAAGGTCAAGAGAAGGGACACAGTGCTTCCGCTGTGGAGCTTCTTCAGGTGTGTTCACCTTTCCCTGTTCCTCTCTTGCGAATAAGCATGAGTACACTACAAGGCTTTTCCTTTTAACAATAGTCCTCCATCAGATTTGGGAATCAATGTGTATTTCATAGGCAGGCCTTATAAAGATTAAAGAGGAATTTGGCACTATTATAGCATGGATACCATAGTTTATTTGTGTAGTTTATACCATGTTTATAGTGAAGTTTATTGGTGTAATGCACCATCTGGCCCAACTGAATGCGCTAGAGACACCTTAGAGGACACAATGTTTTCTTGTAAAGCAGTTAGGTCAGACTAGGATGAAGAAATTATTTATCACTTGATCCTTTATATCATACAGTATGTGCACATACAATATGTATTTCTCTTCCTACGATTCAAGGCACTTATGTATTTTCTCTACCTCTTAGCCACATGCATACATTTTGAATTCATCCGAGAACCTCTTTCAAATGTGTATTGGAGAAATATTTGGAAAAATATAATGGGAACATGTTTGTCTGTTCAGTGGCAGCTCCAGCTTTAATCCATATGCCATTCCATCAAGTATTAAAAAATAACAAGATAGATCACATGGTAAATAACACAATATTCCTGTATAAAACATCTTCGCTGTGTGTATTGCTTAATAAACAGGCTGCTTTAGCTAAGTATGATATAATTTTTCATTTACACCTTAAAGATTACATGAACAAAAAAAATGTTGAAAAATACGAAAGCATTACTGTATTAGAGAGAGCTTTCTAAAAATCTAATTTTTATATTTGATCCCTTCTTCCCTTTTGCATATGATCAAAACCAACCTTGCCAACGTATGCAGCCCCTTGTACAGTTTTCACAGTTTGTTCCTTGAAAGCCAGCCATCATGACACTTTGAAGCAGCAACTGATACGTGTTATCTACACATTTTATATGATAAATATAAGTTGATATTATGTATTATGTTTAATAAATGTGCGTGTTTTGTTTAGTCATTTCACAAAATGGGACATCGCAAGTAGGGGCTGAATACTTTTGGATGGCTATAGATCTCATTTTGTAAAATACACTAGGACAATGTTTTTGCCATCCTTGCTGGTTTAACAAAAACATTTTTGGATCTGACACCTGAGAACTTCTCCAGCTGATAATAATCTCATTAATCAGTGCATTCAGCAAATACCTGACACCATTATTTCAAAGAAGAGGTGTACACCACTGCAGCACCCATTTCTAAAGAATAAATCTTTGTGTAAAGAGAGAGGAAAACCTCTTCTTCTGTGAAACAGTTCTACGTCGTGTAGTCCTTGCGGTTTGTTGTACCCTTTGGACGCCACGCTCCGTTTTAGCGCTTGTTTGTTTTATCTATGGCTTTGCCTGCCTTTGTCATCAGCAGTTGCTCTTCAAAGTAGAGAAGCTGATCCACTTCAAAGCAATCACTTGGCCTTCCTTCAATCTTCCCCAAGAAATCCTTGATCTCGCCTTCCTTCACACAGTTCTCCCTGGCATTCTTCAGGTAGTCATAGACCGTCTGGAAGGCCTCTTCTCCCAGTTTCTCTCTTATTGACCTGAACAAAAACAGGAAATGCTGAAGTGTATAACACGGGGCCTGTCCATTGCTAACTCTTAAATCTTCTTAAAGCTTTTTGTGATTATATTACAGAATATATTTGGGTTTCTGGCATTCACCTCTTCGAACCTCTATCATTGAAATGATTTTCTCTCTCCTCAGCAAACAGACGATACACACGCCTTCTGCACCCTTTCAGTCCAGAAAAAAAAAACGTTTCGATGGGCCCATTTTGCCAACAGAAATGCATTATCTGGTACCGTCTGGCCTCATATTTTATTTAAAGCAATCCAGCCCCACATAAACTGTACAACTGGTCATAAAACAAATAGCCTGTATATAGTATATACGCATATGCAGACATTCATTCATATTAATTGCTGGATCATACAGCAATCTGAGTGTAGAAGAAGCACATGAATAAGAAACTTAGAGCCATTTAAGCTCAAACACCACAGGTCACACAGCGTGAAGATTTAATCAGCATTTATGGAACACACTGACGGCCCTGGTTTGTGTGAGCTCAGCAGGTCCCTGGTAGCAGTCCAGCTCTGCGGTCCCCCAGCAGGAGCAGCGCTAACAAAAACCACAATGAATCGCTGGAAACCAAGACACTTGCCATCTCAAGCTTTAAAACAGTAAACAACACACACAGATAGTGCAAACAGAACAGCAGGTGCAGGAAATCTTAGCATCTGCCTCCTCGGGAGAGAACATCAGGTGATATATCGCATGTGGGACAATTGATTTTGCAATGCAAACAACCGACTAAAGCTCTATCGTTGGGAAATATAAAAAGGGTACAGTCACACTGAGACATCTGTCACCAAAGTCCTTTTAAGCTACTTGATAACCATACCGAGTTGCCTCACTCTGTCATGAACCCTGTATCTCAAAGCCCCAGATGCCAGACTTCATTCCTGATGTATTATTTATTACCACATTGCTCTTGTTGCTTTTGTGCATTCAATTTCATTCACTGGGTGACCTCTAAATAGACACATACAGTAGGCAGCAGCTGTGAGTGGATGTCGGTAGGTGACACACTCGGGCCAGAAATGCCACACCAGGGCCTTGGTTTGGCGACGAGATGTTAAACCAAAGGCCAGACTCCACTAGAGATCCCATGGCCAACAGCAAGAGTCAGAGCAGGTGCCCTGGCTTTCTCAATCTGGCCTTCTTCATTTTCCCCACTGAGTCAGCTGGTGAAGCAGTTTCTCTCTTCTCTGCCAGCAGGGAGGCTGGTGCAGAATGGCTGGCAGACATTAGTTTGATTCCTTGATGTCTATTGACTGCGTGAAAATATTTGAGCACTTCTAAAGAAACCCCTCTTCTTGTAGATGGCCCATTTTCTCTTATTCTTTTAGGACAATGGAGAAAATACTTTGATCGATAGCACAGAACAGCAAGCACATGTACAGGTACGACATCTGTGCTCTCCTATCCACCTCATCACTGAGTCCACTGAAACAGCCAATTCCTTAAGGATAAAGCAGACATTGTGTTGAATGCATCAATTATTTCTACTTAAAATAACAGATAATCTTACTAATTTATATTCCAAATAATTATTTAAAAGGCAAAACTGTGAAAGTATGGTTGCATTTTCTTTGCTGTCTACAGCTCAAAGCTATCAGAATGGCATCATGGAAATGAAAACACTTGTTTGATCTTTCAGTAGGTGTTAGAACCAGGAGGAGGTAACGTAACACGACTTAAACCCACAAAGGGTGGACTTCAGTCTTATTATAAGTACCCACAATAAGTTCCAAGGTACTGCAGTCAGGTAGCAGTGGACTCAAGCAGGGGGTCATCAAGCACTAGAAAACATGGTTGCATGTTGGAGAATATCTGTGCTAAGCCTGAAGACAACTTCATGGTCCATGACATGTAACATAAATATTATGAGCATGTAATGTAAGCTGTACTTTGAAACACAGTGGACATACTGTTTACTGTATGGACGTTTTTATATTGTACAGGTTGAAATGGTCATTCTTATTTAATTTTAGTTCAGGTATCTTTCCTTTTCATCCTTTATGTCTGTTACTGCTTCATCTTTGCTTCTGGTTTTATTTTTTTAATTAGTCTTTATTAGTCTTATTTATTGCCTTTTGCCATCTTTCTTAGGCTCTGTGGTGTAGGTTGTGGGGAAGAGGGGTATTGAGGGAAGGAAATACCAGGAGATCTGTACTGAAGCTTGGATACTTGGTTCAGCTGTTTACCTTGATATATTGTTCCCCTTTTAAAACTTTGAACTGAACTGGTTACAAACATTTTATTTTTCATGGTGCTCTGGACAAAAGCCCATCTTTGGCAGTTTAGAAGGCAACAACTGTGGTTACAATTCTCCCTGAAAGCTTTCTCCAACAGCAGCTCACACAAGAGCACTGCTCCCAGGATGCTGGAGTTTCCCAGGTAGTCACACATCAGTGATTCAATTAATACACCAGGCACGGAGCAAATCCGCGACAATTACAGACCAATCAAATGGAATGCCACATGCTAACACGTCTGATTTCCATCTAAACTGCACAAGGCGTCCTGAAGTGGTCCAGTAGTTTTTAGACAAGTGTAACTGGAATTGAACTGTAAAGGAAAGAGTGCTTAACACACACTACTTGATTAATTCCACTGCTGTCAGAGGTACAGTTACCTGGGACTGGATGAAACATGTTCATATAAAACATTAAACACTAATTGGACAGAAAAAAACAACAGGTTATGTAAGCTCAAATATTTTTGAATGTGAAAACCAGACATATTATCCATTTTCAGTGGTTCATCTTGAAAATAATATCATCATGCGAAGAGACAAATTCCTAATGCAAGAAATTGTATGTGGCTAATAGTGATCTCATAATTTAATTCCTGAAAAAATTAATAATGTACCTCCTTCCCTCCATTCCCCATAGGTGTGCCTTGAACAAAGAATTGTTTAATAGTAAATGTAGTAAACCATGCAATAGAAAGCTCATTTTATACTTCAGTCCCTCTAGTTTGACAGAAAAGACATAGATCTATGGAGCAGGTCAGTGAAACCAACAGTCATTTTTTGTTTTATTCATACATTATTTCACAAATGCCAGTTTTATAAAAGTTTAAAATGTAATTTTCCAAAAACAAAATAGAAATTCTGTCAAATGATTGTATATGCCACAAGAATTGGATGTATCCGGGATGTAAAAAACAGATTTAAACATTATGCTTAGTTATCTATCTAGTAATTCAAATGTCAAAAGTTGGACTTGTGTCACTCTGAAGCACACAAACAACACAAAACCTACCCTCCTCTATCTGGTAGAGACAGAAAATGGTATTAACCATGGGCATATTCTTGTACTGTCAAAAAACATTTGGATTATTCTAAAAAAAAAATACACATAACTTTTCGAGAAATAAACACAGGTAAAACAGCTAAGCTAAGCGGATTAAATTTGGTTTTGTCACATTTGGTGTCATTCATATAACTTTTAAAATGATCAAGTATCTAAACATTTCAGATAGAGGATTTGTATCTTTTCCCACATTTCTTCCATGGGCTGCCTCCCCCCCCCCCCAAAAAAAAATCTCATCTGCGTTACTTTCATCAAACTGCTCATGGCTGATTCTGTTAGAAAGATAAAAAGCACTTAATGCCAACATGCTTGTGCAGGAAGTTTAAAATCAAAACGTTGATGGGACAAACAAATAGGAGAGGTGTACCGTATACAGTATGGCACTATGCACTGCCCCACGCAGCGGGGAATGCATCTGCCTGGTGCTGTGCACATCCTTCTCACTTTGAAACAACACAAGAAATACAGAGGCCACCTCCCGGCAGGGCCCTGCAACTCACTTTTAAGGAGGTAACTCCCCAAGCACAGCCAAGCAGAAGAGTTTGCAGCGGCCTGTCTTTGTGAAGTCTCAGTCGCCTGTCCCGACTGATTCAGTGCCATGGGCACCCCGGGTGAGGACCCTCCCCACCTGTCTTTATCAGGGCAGCCCCTCCTACTGGCGACCCCCCCCCAGAGAGGCAATCCTGGTCACTGCGTATAGGACAGCGCCACCTGCTGGTGAAACTTTCTGAGACACCAGGGAACTGCAACGTGCTATTATTTAGAAATGTTATCCATCATACAGTGAACACATCTATCAGGGAAATTAAAGAGTATGCAACACGTGAAAAATGTGGCAACTGGCATCACGCCCCAAAGTCATTCATAAAACATAAAAAGGAAATAAGCCTCCTTCTGGGGCCAGTGCTGTTGTTTTGAGTTTACAATCATTTTCGATCATTAAAAATACGACATTTTTCAGCACCATTGTCTACTGTACATTATCAATGAAAGCAAATATTAACCTGTCACCCAAAGCCATTCATGTTTCAACTTCTACTTTGATTAAAAAGAAAATGCTTTTTCATTGGATTTCAACTTCGGTGAAGGCACCTTGTATAACTATGCATTCTGGGGAGATGGGCTAGATCCACAGACTGGTAAGACTGGTCAGTGTGGAATGGAAAAAAGCTGATCTCTTACAAAACGGAAAAGATTATCTTCTCAGTCTCCTATGTAATCGATATTCACTGTGCAAATGTTTTCACCTGTACCAGTGGGTCTCAGCTAGCTGGCTCTGTCAGGGTGATTAAGGGTGGCGTGTGTTTTCTGATGTGAAAGACTGTGTTAACATCATTTTAGAGGAATGCATTTAAATTAAAGTCCAGCAGGAGAAACTTCACAATGGCATGAAAAGGAGGTTGAAAAATAGGTGTGCTAATTGTTATATAGATTATTAACAGAGGAGTCTTTTTTTTTACTGGAGCATGTGTTAAAACCATACATCATGCTTACATTCATGCAGGGCTACACCATGTTACAATGCTAACTCAAAAACCAAATGCAAAAATGCAAAAGTCCAGCTATGCAAAAGCCTTTCTGTGCCCAAAGAGCTGTGGGAGTCTGGAACAAGCTAACCAGCCGTGTTTCTGAAGTTGGCACACTAGCTTTTGTCAAGGTA